TAAAAAAAATCCTCGCATTCGAGATAGCGTCTCGTCACGTCTTCGAGACGTCTCAAGGCGCGTCGCGGGATATACTGTAAGGTGACTTGACCGTGCGTTTTAACGATAAGCTGGCGATGTGAAAATGCAAGGATTATTATTAATGCACAGACACAGAGACACACGCACACAGCCACACATGCACACACACACACACACACACAGCCAGACACAGACACACACAGAGAGGGAGAGACACACACACATACACACACACAGCCAGACACAGACACACACACAGAGGGAGAGACACACACGCACACACACAGCCAGACACAGACACACACAGAGAGGGAGAGACACACACACACGACACACACACAGCCAGACACAGACACACACAGAGAGGGAGAGACACACACACACGCACAGACAGAGCCAGACACAGACACACACAGAGGGAGAGACACACACACACGCACACACACAGCCAGACACAGACACACACAGAGAGGGAGAGACACACACAAACAGCCAGACACAGACACACACAGAGAGGGAGAGACACATACACACGCACACACACAGCCAGACACAGACACACACAGAGAAGGAGAGAGACACACTACACACACAAACACACACACAGAGAAAGCCAGAGCTCAAAGAGTGACTGCAAATTCCTTAGATTTTCGGCTTTGAGCTGGGTTGGAGCTGAGCTGGGGTTGAGCTGGAGCTGGGCTGGGGTTGAGCTGAGCTGAGCTGGAGCTAAGCTGGGGTTGGAGTTGAGCTGAGCTGCGGCTGGGCTGAGGCTAAGCTGGGCTGAGCTGGAGCTGGGCTGAACTGGGCTGAGGCTGAGCTGTGGCTGAGCTGGGCTGAGCTGGGTTGGAGCTGAGCTGTGGCTGAGCTGGGCTGGGGCTGAGCTTGGCTGGGGCTGAACTGAGCTGGGCTGGGGTTGGGGCTGAGCTGGGGCTGGACTGGGGTTGAGCTGAGCTGGGGCTGAGCTGGGCTGAGCTGAGTGAGCTGGGTTGGAGCTGAGTGAGCTGGGCTGGAGCTGAGCTGTATGAGCTGGGTTGGAGCTGAGTGAGCTGGGTTGGAGCTGAGCTAAGTGAGCTGGGTTAGAGCTGAGCTGAGTGAGCTGAGCTGGGTTGGAGCTAGGCTGAGCTGGGTTGGAGCTGGGCTGAGCTGAGCTGGGTGAGCTGGGTTGGAGCTGAGCTGAGTGAGCTGAGCTGGGTTAGGGCTGAGCTGGGTTGGGTTGGAGCTGAGCTGAGTAAGCTGGGCTGAGCTGAGCTGAGTGAGCTGGGCTGAGCTGAGTGAGCTGGGCTGAGCTGAGTGAGCTGGGATGGGTTGGAGCTGAGGCTGGGCTGAGCTGGGTTGGAGCTGGGCTGAGTGAGCTGAGCTGAGTGAGCTGGGATGGGTTGTTGAGCTGAGGCTGGGCTGAGCTGGGTTGGAGCTGGGCTGAGTGAGCTGAGCTGGGTGAGCTGGGATGGGTTGGAGCTGAGGCTGGGCTGAGCTGGGTTGGAGCTGAGCTGAGTGAGCTGAGTGAGCTGGGTTGGAGCTGAGGCTGAGCTGGGTTGGAGCTGGGCTGAGCTGGGTTGGAGCTGAGTCAGCTGGGCTGAGCTGGGTTGGAGCTGGGCTGAGCTGGGCTGAGCTGAGGCTGAGCTGGGTTGGAGCTGAGGCTGAGCTGGGTTGGAGCTGAGCTGGGCTGAGCTGGGTTGGAGCTGAGGCTGAGCTGGGTTGCAGCTGAGTGAGCCTGGTTGGAGCTGGGCTGAGCTGGGTTGGAGCTGAGTGAGCTGGGTTGTAGCTGAGCTGAGTGAGCTGGATTGGAGCTGAGTGAGCTGGGTTGGAGCTGAGTGAGCTGGGTTGGAACTGAGTGAGCTGGGTTGGAGCTGAGTGAGCTGGGCTGAGTGAGCTGGGTTGGAGTTGAGCTGAGTGAGCTGGGTTGGAGCTGAGCTGGGTTGGAGCTGAGTGAGCTGAGCTGAGTCAGCTGGGTTGGAGCTGAGTGAGCTGAGCTGAGTGAGTTGGGTTGGAGCTGAGCTGAGTGAGCTGGGCTGAGTGAGCTGAGTGAGCTGGGCTGAGTGAGCTGAGTGAGCTGGGTTGGAGCTGAGTGAGCTGGGCTGAGTGAGCTGGGCTGAGTGAGCTGAGTGAGCTGGGCTGAGTGAGCTGAGCTGAGTGAGCTGAGCTGAGTGAGCTGAGTGAGCTGAGTTGGAGCTGAGTGAGCTCAGTGAGCTGAGCTGAGTGAGCTGAGCTGAGTGAGCTGGGTGAGCTGAGTGAGCTGGGCTGAGTGAGCTGGGTTGGAGCTGAGTGAGCTGAGTGAGCTGAGTGAGTGAGCTGGGTTGGAGCTGAGTGAGTGAGTGAGCTGGGCTGAGTGAGCTGAGTGAGTGAGCTGGGTTGGAGCTGAGTGAGTGAGCTGGAGCTGAGCTGAGTGAGCTGAGTGAGTGAGCTGAGCTGGGGCTGAGTGAGTGAGCTGAGTGAGTGAGCTGGGCTGGAGCTGAGTGAGCTGGGCTGGAGCTGAGTGAGTGAGCTGGGCTGGAGCTGAGTGAGTGAGTGAGTGAGTGAGCTGGGCTGGAGCTGAGTGAGTGAGTGAGCTGAGTGAGCTGGGCTGGAGCTGAGTGAGCTGGGCTGAGCTGAGTGAGTGAGCTGGGTTGGAGCTGAGTGAGTGAGCTGGGTTGGAGCTGAGTGAGCTGGGTTGGAGCTGAGTGAGCTGGGCTGGAGCTGAGTGAGTGAGTGAGTGAGCTGGGTTGGAGCTGAGTGAGTGAGCTGAGTGAGTGAGCTGGGTTGGAGCTGAGTGAGCTGGGTTGGAGCTGAGTGAGTGAGCTGAGTGAGCTGGGTTGGAGCTGAGTGAGCTGAGTGAGTGAGCTGGGCTGGAGCTGAGCTGAGTGAGTGAGCTGAGTGAGTGAGCTGAGTGAGTGAGCTGGGTTGGAGCTGAGCTGAGTGAGTGAGTGAGTGAGCTGGGTTGGAGCTGAGCTGAGTGAGTGAGTGAGCTGAGTGAGTGAGCTGGGCTGGAGCTGAGCTGAGTGAGTGAGTGAGCTGAGCTGAGTGAGTGAGCTGGGTTGGAGCTGAGTGAGCTGAGTGAGCTGGGTTGGAGCTGAGTGAGTGAGTGAGTGAGCTGAGTGAGTGAGTGGGTTGGAGCTGAGTGAGTGAGTGAGCTGAGTGAGTGAGTGAGCTGAGTGAGTGAGTGAGTGAGCTGAGTGAGTGAGTGAGTGAGTGAGTGAGCTGAGCTGAGTGAGTGAGTGAGCTGAGCTGAGTGAGTGAGTGAGCTGAGTGAGTGAGCTGGGTTGGAGCTGAGTGAGTGAGTGAGTGGGGTGGGTTGGAGCTGAGTGAGTGAGCTGAGTGAGTGAGTGAGTGAGCTGAGTGAGTGAGTGGGGTGGGTTGGAGCTGAGCTGAGTGAGTGAGTGAGCTGAGTGAGTGAGCTGGGTTGGAGCTGAGCTGAGTGAGTGGGGTGGGCTGGAGCTGAGCTGAGTGAGTGGGGTGGGTTGGAGCTGAGCTGAGTGAGTGAGTGAGCTGAGTGAGCTGAGTGAGTGAGTGAGTGAGTGAGTGAGCTGGGCTGGAGCTGAGTGAGCTGAGTGAGTGGGGTGGGTTGGAGCTGAGCTGAGTGAGTGAGTGAGCTGAGTGAGTGAGTGAGTGAGTGAGTGAGTGAGTGAGCTGAGTGAGTGAGTGAGCTGAGTGAGTGAGCTGAGTGAGTGAGTGAGTGAGTGAGCTGGGTTGGAGCTGAGCTGAGTGAGTGAGCTGGGTTGGAGCTGAGTGAGTGGGTTGGGTTGGAGCTGAGTGAGCTGAGTGAGTGAGTGAGCTGGGTTGGAGCTGAGTGAGCTGAGTGAGTGAGTGGGGTGGGTTGGGTGAGTGAGTGAGCTGGGCTGGAGCTGAGTGAGTGAGTGAGTGAGTGAGTGAGTGAGCTGAGTGAGCTGAGTGAGCTGAGTGAGCTGGGTTGGAGCTGAGTGAGCTGAGTGAGTGAGTGAGTGAGTGAGTGAGTGAGTGAGTGAGTGAGTGAGCTGGGTTGGAGCTGAGTGAGTGAGTGAGCTGGGCTGGAGCTGAGCTGAGTGAGTGGGGTGGGTTGGAGCTGAGTGAGCTGAGTGAGTGAGCTGAGTGAGTGGGTTGGAGCTGAGTGAGTGAGCTGGGCTGGAGCTGAGTGAGCTGAGTGAGTGAGTGGGTTGGAGCTGAGTGAGCTGGGTGAGTGAGTGGGGTGGGTTGGAGCTGAGTGAGTGAGCTGAGTGAGTGAGTGAGCTGGGCTGGAGCTGAGTGAGTGAGTGAGTGGGTTGGAGCTGAGTGAGTGAGTGAGTGGGTTGGGTGCAGCGTTACCCGGAGCTGTACGCGCTGACGCACTGGGGCACTGCTCGGCTCTGGGTTTTTTCCATTCATGCATACAGTTAATGTTCAACCTACAGAGGGGCTGAGGGGAAGCCAAGGAGCCATATAAATGAAATGTACTCCCCTCAAACCCAGGATTCATTTGGCAGCGAACAAGAGGACAGTCTCCACACCTCAGGGATCTGCGATTAGATACCCCCCCCCACCCCCCCACCACCCTCTCCCCATCCCCACCCCCCTTTTTACCCCCCAATCCTCCTTTTTTTTTGAGCAAGAAACTACCAGGTAATGAGATCTATTTCATTTCTAGTGGGGGGTTATTTTTTTTTTTGGGGGGGTGGGGGGTGAGGGGTGGGATGGGGTTTGTTTATTTCTTTTGCTTTTAACCTGATCTCTCTTCTCTCTTCTCTCTCTCTCTGCATCTCTCTAATTCTATCTCTCTATTTCTCTCTCTCCCTCTCTCTGTCTCTCTCTCTGTTAGAAAAAAATATGCAATAAAACCCTCTGATTTTTCCATCTCCAAACCCCAAACCCAAACCCCCCCCACAAAAAAAAAATTTATTTTTATTTTTGTAAAATGAATTAGATTTTCTTTATTGTCTCGAACTTTTTATTGGGTGGAAAGGGGGAAGAGAGAAAGACCCCCTTTTTCCTACCCCCCCCCCCCCCCCACACACACACACACACCCCATCACCAACCTTTCTCTCTCTCTCTCTCCTCTGTATGTATCATTGTCTACTTTGTATCGATGGAGGGTTACATTTAACAGTGTGTAGGTTTGGTTTCATTGGGGTTTGTTGTGGTTGTTGCATAGGGCATATGTGTAAATATATATATAGTCAACGATGAAACTGACTGTGTGTTCATGTTTCGAGGGAGAGGGTAAGAGTGGATTTCCTCATGTCAGACATGCTTCCTGCTCAAACAAAGAAACTGAGCTTGAATTAAAATTAATTCTACCAGCCAAGGCATCCAGACCATCGAGCAGTGTGATCTCCCCCCCCTCCACCCCCCTCCACCCCCCCTCCCCTGTGATTTCTTGGGCTCTTAAAACATTGCACACATTTTTTTTTATTGGGGTGGGTATTTTTTTTTATTGGTGGTGGTGGTGGTGGGTGGACTTCTGTTTTGGTGGAGGAGGGTAAGAAAAAAGCAATGCTTTGGGTTCTGTTGAGGTGTGGGTGGTAAGAAAGGCATGGGTTTCTGTGGATTTTTTTTTTGGGGGGTGGGGGGGGGGGGGGTGTTGGAATCACTCAGATTTGACAATATGTGTAATTTATATATTCATTTCGATTTTTCTCCACTCACAGTATTGTTCCATTTTTTTTTCTCTTGCTTTTTTTTTGTTAATTTTTTCTCTCTCTCTGTGTCTCTCTCTTTCTCCCCTGAAACACAGAAGAAAAAAAAACAATTCAAGTATACTGGAAGCAAAAAACAATAGACGTTAATTCCGGGAGAACAGTAAAGTACTGCTTTGTATGTATTGAAGAATTACTGCGCTTTTGTTGTGTGTGTGTGTGTGTGTGTGTTGGTGGTGGTGGTGGTGGTGGAAGGGAGGGATGGGATGGGATGGGGTGGGTGGTGGTTATGTGTGTAAAATGGGTGTTTTTACTCATTTATAACCCAGAAAAAAAAATTTGCTTTTTAAAAAAAAGAATATGTATGTCATTTTGTTCTTCTGATCTGAGAGAGATTGATCTCAGGGTTAGGAGGGGGAATAGAAGGCAAGAGAGAGAGAGAGAGAGATGTAATGTAACCTTGCAGTGTTGGACACACATATGCATTACTGGTTGGGTGGATATGAAGGGGATCAGTGAATAAATAGATTGATCCATCCATCCATTAACACACTGTAACATAAAAGGCAACGGAATACACACACACACACACATAGAGATCACTCTCACTTAAAGGTGAGAAACCCACAAAGCAATTGCACATGAACACAGGTGACATTTTTGGAAGCCAGGAGGGAATGAATGGAGGGGATTGGGGGGCTGGGGGCTGGGGCTGGGGCTGGGGGGGGGGGGGGGAAGAAAAGAGAGGAAAAAAAAATACAAAGTGAAGATTTATCAATAAAGCCTGTAGTGTGTGTAGTGGCTCGCAAGCGCGTTAACTCGGCCGAGATAGGGTTAAACCAGAAGGGCGGGTTGGAATATGGTTATGTATAAATTTGGACGGTTTGAGTTTGGATGTGGGTTTGTGGATTATATATGTGAAAGGAACCTTGTTGAGCGTCCTCCTTCCTTGTCTCTCTCTCTCTCTCTCCCTCTCGCTCTGCCTCTCTCTCTCTCTCTCTCTCTCCCTCTCCCTCTCCCTTTCTCTCCGGTGCGCTCAGGAATGGCCCGAGGTGAGAAGATGCATTGCTTGAAGGATTTCCACAAAGACACTCTCAAACCCTCGCCCGGAAAGAGCCCAGGCACCCGGCCAGAGGACGAGGCAGACGGCAAGATGCAGCGGGAGAAGTGGGCAAATAAACTCGACTTCATCCTATCTGTAGCGGGAGGATTCATCGGACTAGGCAACATCTGGCGATTCCCTTATCTCTGCTATAAAAACGGCGGAGGTGAGACGCGCATTGTTTTTGAGTGGGTCCTTTTAAAAGGGGAAGGTTCTTTGAGAAGAAGTGTTTGGCCACTTTTGTTTGTGTGTCTATTGTGGGAGGGAGGGGCTGGGTGGGCAGGCGGGTCGGGGAGAGAGCTTGAGGTACAAGAAACGCGTCATTTTTATCACAAGGTTTTTCTCCTCGCGCAAGTGACATAAGGCAGGCAAAGAGGGTTCGATGTGATTTAAGGCTGTGCATCGGTTTAAAAATAGCAGAGCTAATTCTTCCTGTCCTGAGGACAATAGCCCTTTAATCCGGACACGTACTGGAATTTTTAATGCTGTGTTTTATTTTATTGTTGTGGCACACATGCGGCTGTATATGTTTACCCTTCACCTTTGTGTGATGACGTGTGTGATGCGATTTGCATGTTCCAATTTTTTTGGGGGGGATGCGTGCGTGTGGGTAGGGCGGTAGTGTTTGTCCGTGTGTGCATGTGCGTGAGAGAGATGCAGGCTCAGATCATGATACATACATGTCATACCTGATTGGCACTCCCTTATTTAGCTTGTGAAGCGAGGAGGGCAAATCTCAGGGGCAGATTTGGTACAAAAGATCCGATTGGAAAAATGTGGCTGTAAGGTGGGCCCCACCCCTGGGTGTGGCAGTCCACAGCATATCTGATCGTTTCTGGAGGCAGATTGAAGAACCTACCCTCCCCAGGGTAACGCAGTGGTAACCTCCAGAGATGGCGCGAAGGTGCCCTGTTTTTATTGCACTGCCGAATAACCGGGGCTGTAATAAGGCGGTAACATTGCAATGCAATACTGCAGCACGAACCTATTGTAATCGACAAAGAGTCTGGCACATCGGCACCTGCACATGCACTCGAGCAACGGAGCAGGCTAGATTTCGCTTGACACATTTCCTCAGGCGCGAGAGGCGGCCCGAGCTAAATCGAGCTTAAACTTTCCGGGGAGTTGTGAGGGTCAGAGTAAACCCGTGCCCGAGGTAGTGAGAACAGAGTGCCGCCCAGAGACTTAACGAGGACAGGCAGAAGTCGAGGTTGGCGGTTGCTAGCCACACAGAAAAGACGTGGAGATATTCTGTTGGTGAGTGCAAAGTCACCAACAGATCTCTTCCCCCTATAGTCTCGTGCACGTTCCAGCAATCCTTGTTCAGCGCTGATTGACTCGGTGATTAAGTTTGTGAGCTCAGAAGTGGGGGCGATGACATTCCCAGGATCCGATATCACAGGCAGGAGAAACTGCAGGTGATGCTTCAGCGCTGGTATTCAGTGCAGACATTTTGGGATTGATGGCGATTGTTTAAAGCACAACTGGTATAAATTATAAATTGCTTTGGCTCCAACGTTGAGAGGGTGGATTTATTTAATTATATTTATTTTTAAAAACACAAAGACTTCCGTGCAAAGACACGACTAATTACTGTAATGTGGCACAAGGCTGTTTGTATGGCTTCAGGATCCAGTGGGGCTGGGGTTTCTGTTAGAAACCTGAAGCTTTTTGATCGACAAACCTAGGCAAGAAGCCAAGGATCACAGTGCAGGACACGAGCAAGGTTGAAAGGAGGAAGAGGGAGGGGAAGATATACTGTATCAAGCATTGGTGGTTAAGTGACACCAGGCTTGGGTTTCAACAACCTCTACATCATATGAGGAAGGGAAACCTAAGGAGGTCCATAGTTTTGAGGGTCTGGGAAAGAATGACTCAGTGAGAATTTGGATTCCAAAGCAGTGAGAATACAGAGAGGAGGAAAAACGTGCCGGGGAGTATATTTGGAGCTTGAGGGAACTAAGAGAAAATGCAGAAGATTAATGACCTTGGAAGAAGATGGTATAAATATAATTTTTTTGGCTCGAGTGCTAGGATGAATTTATTTAACTATATTTAGAAACACAGACTTCGTGCAAAGACTCGACTAATCTACTGTAGCAAAGGACGTTTGAGCCGGGATCCAGTTTCTTTTGTGGAAAAAATTTCTGTAAACATTTCACATCACCTCCTTGTGATTATGGTGAGGTGTTTTGATCCCTCACAGTTTTGTCAGAAATCAGGGTGGGGAGGGGTGGGGGAGAGGAGAAAGCAAATGTTTGACTTCCAAGGCATGTTCTGATGACACGTTCTATTCAAACATTTCATCGCACACTAAAGTTTTGTCAGTTTTTTGCGCAAAGCAATAAGTTAAGGAGGGAGGAAAGACTCTGGTGTGTCACAGTGTGTTCCGAGTTGGCTGACGTTGTTGAACACCGTGTTGGGAGGCATTGCAATTAAGCTTTGCAACTCTTGGGATGAACCACCAGGCAATTGGCAGTAATAGAGTAACTGTCCCTCAACATCGGCAATACAACAGTAGTGACTTGCATTTACATAGCGCCCTTCATGAGGGGTAGCGTCCAGGAGCACTTGATAGCCTTCAACAGAGAAATTTCCCCAAATAGACATGTTCCCATTTGGGAGAGGGACTTCGTTTGTTCCTCCACCCAACATTCCTGACATCCCAGCATAGAGATCTCTCACCTATCTTATTATGCCTGTTGTATCCAGCGCCTTTGGGACACCCTCTCGACGTGAAAGGCGCCATACAAATGTAATTTGTCATCGTGAATCCAGAGTACGGCAATCCTTTTGGGTTTCACAAGTGAGGCCCCCAAAATTCTCAGCGTTACCTCAGTGACGTTATCTTGGTGGGGAGGATAAAACGAAGGTTGTGCCGAATCTTACAAAATGTCTTCAGTTCAGTTTTCATTTGGAAGTCGTTTTTTTCGCAGATATTCAGAACTTTCGGTTATCTAAAAAAAAATAGTCTTTTTCGGGGTGAGTCGTGCGCACAGTGAAGCGTGACGCTGGCACGTTTTGCCCATTTCATGTTAGCCTCAGGCGCGGTACAGACAGATCAGATGCAGAACGAAGGTTCCTCATCTCTGCCTCGAACTCAGAAGTGCTCCCTCTACTGTATCAATGCGACATTTTACTTAACCCAAACCAGCCATTTTGTGGCCCTTGTCCGTGATTGCCAAATAAGTGCTCAATCCAGTTTTGTGTTGCCCACTCACTAGTTACCTGTTACGGATTTTTTTTCTCCCCCCCCCCTTCCACGCGTAGAATCAATGCAGCCAACAGGCACAGGCACAGGAGACTTTCAACCCATTAGAATTGGCCGGTTTCAATCCCCGGTCCAGGAAATGAAGGTACATTTGTCCAATCCCACGGTGTCATTCAGTTCCCGCTGTAAACTACTTTGAAGAGTTTCAAGTTTTCAATCGCGTATATTATGGACTGCTTAAAAAATTATTTTTACAAAACCCAAAAATAGATGCCACGGTCGGCGTTGTTTGTCCTGAATCCGTTTATTGCTGACAGCTGTTGGTTTCATTCTTGGGAGATGACAAGGCTCTTTCAATGTCAGTTCAATCTGATGGACAGATAACTCATAAAGGACATATAAGTGTCATTCATTGTATCTGGCATTGTATTGTAACCCCAAATCTGGCACAAAGCTAGGAACATTACTTGTTATATCAAGGTTATTGCAAAAGTCTTGACCAGCTGATGGTGACAGAAAAAACAACAGGAGTTGGGTCTTTAATCGTCTTTCGATATTTCTAATACTGGATTGAGAAATTTTGAAATGTAATTACATAACACTTTTTGTTCTGCTTTTTTATTACTTGGGTCAACATTTCTGAATTTTCAGGTTTCTGTCACTGCGTTCTTGATTTTAGTTCCTATTTCTTTGGTGTTTGGGTTTGATCATTGCCTTCCTGAATTTGTGGGGTGTCGAATTCAAATTACTGCATAGGGTTTGTTCCCGAATCTAGATCCCGTTAATGGTAAAATAATAATAAGTCTGGTTATATTGAATGGTTTTGTGATTCCCTAGTTGCGTGATGATAACACTTTTTAAAGGGAATCTGGATGATAATGGGAAGACACTAAATCCACTCTTAACATATGGTGTTTTATCCTGATGGCCTTTTCTCTATAACTTGCAAAAATAGTCACCAATTATTACTCTGGCGTGTTCCTCCGACATGCAGGACTGAGTGACAGGCTAATTGAGTGCGGACATCTGGACAGATCTGTTTCCAAAGTCCGCAAGAAAGAGAAGGTAGGAACAACAACCACAATAAATTACACTTGGAGAGCGCCCTTCACGTCAGAAAGACGTCCCAGGGGGCTGAAAGGAACGAAGAGGGCAAGACAGGAATCGCAACATGTTATTGCGAAGCAATTGAAGGAGAAATTTAAAACAGATGAGAAAGTTAGGGTGAAAGGAGGTTTGAAATTTCAGACAACTCGAGTGGGTCAGTGCAGTTGGATATCAATGAGGCTTGATAGAGTATCCTCCATCGATCTGGCGAAATTGTGTGTATTTGTGCGTGTGTGCGCGTGTGTTTGTGTACGCATACTATCTCTGGGGGAAAACGTACTGATCCCCCAAAAGTAATCAAGCAAAAATCTTCAGAATAGGTATCCATCCCCGCATCGCCATTGTGCAACTCCGATCTCTTTCCCTCCAGAGGCAACTTTTCCTATGTTTTCCTACCTCCGCCCAAAGGAATACAAATATCTCGTTCTCCATCTAAACCGGTATCTTCCAATGTTGTTCACGAGTAGATATGTAGACAGTTCTTATTTCAAAGTACTTAATCAACATAGTATTTATTGTATTTAAGGCTGCTCTTGTTAAATGTTGTTCCCCAGACTCATTACTCTGGCAGTATTCTAATCTCTGTTGTCACTTGATGCTTTTTAGTAGTTAACCTATTGTTCTCATAATCCAAGTCCAAGTCCAAGTCCAGTATCTTGGTTACATCAACATAAGGTACTCATCTCATTTGAAAGACTTGGATCGTTCAAGCTATTTTCCACAGTTTGCTCTTAATTCAGAATTCTAATCTCTGAGATAATTATTTTTCTTCCTTCCTGAACCCTCTCCAATACTTCCAAAACAGAACAAAATATTCCAAGGAAGGATCAGAGAATCGTGATTAGATT